GAGAGCGAGGGTCGCAGCCTGCAGTGCAAGGCGCTTTGGGCACTGGCCGGGCTTCTCTCTCCCTCCCTCTCTCCCCCCCCCGTAGAGTAATTTAATTTAATTTAATTTAATTTAATTTAATTTAATGATTCGTCTGCAGCTTCTGCATACCGTCCCCTGCAGGCGTCCCGGGACGGTGCTGCGGTCCAAGCAGCCCAGAGGCCATCGAGCAGCGCGCCCGGCGTCCCTGTCCCGCTGCACCGCGGGCGCCCCCCGGGCCGGGGCTCCATCGCTCGGGGCTCCCGCGAGCCTCCCGCGGTGCACCGGAATCCGCCCGGGACCGGGGAGAGGAGGCGCTGCCCTTCCTCCTCCGGGCGCTTGTGCGGCGCTGGCAGATCTCCCCGCTGCTGGGGCGAACGGGCCCCGCTCCCTCGGGCGGCCCTCACAGCGCCCCGTTTCCGCCGCCCGGACCGTGCTTCTGCCCCCCCGGAACCCCTCCCGGCCAGCCGGCATCTCTCCCGGGCCGTGGGGCTCAGAACCGGCCGCCGCCGCCCAGAGGAGGCCTCCCCGGTGCGGGTGCAGCGGGACTCGGGCTCCGCGTACCTCGCTCGGTGGCAGCCCGGCGCCCGAGTGCCCGGTGTGGCCGCCCGCCACCGGGAGAGTCCATGCGGTGCGCAAGGGCATCCCTCTTCCGCAGCACTGCCACAGCCTCCTGCTGCTCCGCATGTGCCCGGGAGAAGCGCGCCGGCTGCACGACCTCGTTCCACGAGCGCCTACCCTGGAGCAAACCCGCTGCGTGCGAGCTGCCTGGTGCGGCCGACAGCCGTCCTCACGGCGCCCAAGTGGCCACTGCAGTCTCCATCATGCATGGCCGCACGGCCCCGGCACCGCTCCCGGAGGAGGCACGCAGCGGGGAGCCCTGCACCGAGGCCCAACAGGGCTCAGTGCAGTGGTGAAACCCCCCCGCTGGCTCTCCGGGTCTTCCCGGCCTGTGCCAGGGATCCATCCTGCACCGTTGACCCGTGCTTAGCAGCTAAGGGCACCAGCGATGGCCCCTCCGTCCCTCCCCAGGCCTTTAGTGTTGCCACAGAGTCCCCTGGGGGGTGGGACGAGGGGCCCCTGCCCAGAAATGTCCCAGTTACCCATTGGGTGCGTTTTGCGTCATGCAAACCCGCAATATGAGCCAAGGGAACGGGGCTGGATACGAACCGGGGCGTAGCGGTGGCTCGCCTCAGTGACTCGTTCGTCATTGATTCTTTTTTTCCTGCTATGGGGAGAATGACTCATGATACAGATAAACGCAGAATTTGGCCATGCGCAGACCATGGGTCCCCCTTCTGGTGCCAGGCACCTTCAACACGGGCGCTCTCTTGGCGCGTGTGGCGCATTCTGCCCCTCTGGAGCTTTCTGTTCTTCAAGATTTTCGAAAAGGTGACGTATAGCAAAGTGCCGCCCTGGGCGACCATCCGTCCCCGTTTGGTTTTGCGCTTCGGCACTTGGCCTCCATCCCTGCCTTGGATTTAGCTTTCTGGGCAGATTAATTTTCTCATAGTCCCCACCATTTCCCCGTCTGGGAAATGAGCATTCTGTGGCCGGCAGCCCCCTCCATGGTGCCCCTTTTGTGAGACCACCCACAACACACATTTTATTTATTTATGGATTTATATCCTGCCTTTTTCCTACAAAGGCAGCTGACATTCTCCTCTTCCATCTTATCCCCACAACAACCCTGTGAGGTAGGCGGGGCTGAGAGTCTGTGACTGGCCCAAAGTCACCCAGCTGGCTCCATGGCTGAGCAGAGACTCGAACCCAGATCGTCTTTCCACATGGTGTGTGCTGGGCGGGGGGAGGATTATTCCAGGCAGGTGTTCTTCCAGCTCTATCCGGAGATGTGCAGGGTTCATACCTGGGGGGCCCCGCAGCCTGCCTGGATTCATAAACCAGACAAACGACTGAGCTCAGTCTTGGAAGCGGAACCCAGGTGAGGCCAAAAGGGCCTTTCCAGACCGAGTGAGGGCTGGACAGCCCGAGCCAGCTTCCGACTTTCCATCTGTCCAGGGCCCTCTCTCTAGGCCGAAGATTGACCCTGCAGACACCAGCCTCGGCGCCGCTTCATACTTCCGAGACGGACAGAATCGGACGAAATGCACCGTGCCAGGTCGCTGCAGTGGCCGAAGTGTTGTAAATCCACACAAACTTCCCCCTCTTTGCCCCAGTCTGGATCCTAGCAAACGTGTCCCCCTCGGGAAGCCAAGGTGCCTCCGGCAGTGTAACACAGACTAATCCAGGACTCGCTCCCTTGGCTGCCTCTAATAGATTTCTTGGGGAGCCTGCAAATTGTCCCCAACTTTAGCCGTGCGCATGGACTCAAATCCCTACAGGAGGTGAAGGTCAGTGCGAAAGTGCTGGAGTCCACCGCCAGACGAGGCTTCGGTTACCCGCACCGGGCTTGCTGGAGGTCCTAATTCGGCCAATTAGAGGTTGCCTCCTTGCTTGCCACAATCCTGCCCAGAGCCATTTGTTTGCGAGCCTTGCGCAGGACAGGACTTCAAGCGCGCTCGGCTGAGCAACATGCCGGGGTCCACATGCAAGATTTATGCTCAATTTTGTGCCTGAAGAAGCATCTGTCACTCATGCCAGATCTTTAAAGATTATGCATAACCTGATGAGATGGAACAGTCAAGGTAGTTTTGCACAACTTCGACATCTCACTAGCCGTGGTCCTGTGCTAGTTACCGACCTGCCGCAGTGCTGAAGCCGCTCTGTTTCCATGGAACTGGGCTGACCGGCAGCGTCCGGGTTTGGGAAAGACATCTGGGCCCCTGCTGAGAAGAGGCCAGCCTTCGAGTCGCCGCATTGCGGCCCCCCGAGCAACGAAGGGCACTCCTGGGCCCGGGCCGGTGTGTTCCGCTGCCCCCATGAGAGGAAGGGGGGTGCAACTGGCAGGACATTTCCGACTTTCCTGGCACCTCCGCGCATGCTTGCCTGAGTTGGGAAGGCACGTCAACGCAAGGAGAAGGTTCCTTGTGTGACAGCTGCGTCTGAGAAGGAAGGAAGACGCTGCCCTCGGAGGGGTCACTGTGTGGAGCGCCCCTCCTTTCGCGAATATGACTCTCGCATGATGCTCTCGAGGGCTCTTTTCCGGGGATGCCTGCAGCCCTCCGAATGCAGGGGCTGCGGACGTCCATTGCAGGCCAGGAGGACCACAGAGGCGGAGCAGTTCTCCTCTCTCTGCCCCCAGAATGGCCACTAGGCCCCCTCCGCAAGGTCGCACCTGCAGCTTGGCAGAAGCAACTGCCCTGTTCATTTTGCAGCAGGCGCAATGAGGATCCGGGCAAGGCAAGAGCAACGGCCGAGCCCCAGAGCCGGCAAGCCAGGCACACTCTACGTCCACCGTGACGCTGTCCCAGGCCACAGGATCGCTCTGCCCCGGTTTGGCCACATTCACCCTCAGTATACCCATCGTGAGGCAGATGCGCCCATTTCACAGATGGGCCACTTGCATGTGGAGAAAACGAGTTCCTGAGACGGAGTATTGACTCTGTCCTTAAAGCTGGCTTTGCGCCCATGTCCCCCGAGTTCATTCCACTGGCAATACAGT